CCCCCACTTACCGGTCCGAGTTCGATAAGGTCTTATTCATATAGTGTTTCTTTTAATTAGCTCTTTTCCTTAAGAAGCAACTTAGGTAACATTGTTATCAAGGGGGTTTTAAGGAAATCCTTAACAGGGTCATACAGCGTCATAAAAATAAGGACCCTTTTCGCAAACCTCGAGTGAACTTCAGTGCTATCAGTAGTGAAAGTTTGACAATTGGTTGAAAGGGATTTCATTGATTTTATAATCAAAAACATATAAAATACAAAAGAAAATATGATGCTAGTTTTTTTAACTTTAAAGTAGGTTTTCATCTACTTTAAAGTATGTCAAAAGCATAATATTTTCTCTTCAGTATTTTGTACTTTTTAAAGTTGCGAATTGTAATCCATGCCAAGATCCACTACTGAATTTGACTCGATATTGGCAAAAAATGTCCTTTTCATTATGCTTTTTGGAGGGCTTCCTGAAACCTTCCTTAATCACAATGTAAACCACATGGGGCCTCTTAGAGAAAAAGGGCTGTCTAAAGTATGCGACTACATGCATACGACCTATGGTGAGTAAATGAGGTCAATATCACTGCTATACAGCCTGCGCTATGCGGATGTTGTTCAGAGTGTGGGAAGTTCTGCTCAGGTCATTAATGGCTTTCGCATTTAGACGGGGGAGTTAAGACTGAATTCATTTCGGAATTCATCATCTCATCTTCTTTGCCGCTGCAAGCTTCAGCCCAGGTACAGCAACTCAAATTCGCCTCCTTCCGAAAGGGATATTCACTTCGACCAAAAATCCGTTTGGTACTTCCCATGGTGTTCTCTACACATACGCCAGGAAAGTAATGTCTCCCCTAAAACAATTCGTGGATGAATTATTATTTTAACATTGTACAATATTTATTACTAGTCTAAGAGGCTTAAATACAGACTAGCGGAGCTAGCACCAAAATCGTCAAAAGACTTTGACATAATATGCTGCGAGACAAGATTTTTAGACAAACCAAGGCAAACACAAACTCGGAAAGATAACTATTACTGCACGGAGAACGAGATCTTGCCTATCTCAAAAATTGAAGGCGGAACAGTTATAACGCAACCTCATACCTCCTTCGCTTCCTTCTAAAGTTTTCATTGTAAAAAAAAAAAAAGACCACTGGATATCTCCTTCATTCCCCATCTGGTTTGTGTACAGCGTTGGGGGTAGTTTTGCGGGTTTTTTATATAACCTTGACCTACTGCCCTTTATCACCTTAAATAATTTGATATATGTGACCTTTAATGTGTGTTATGCTGAGGGGTCATTCGTTCACTTCATGCCCAACTACGTGCGTGCCATTCCATCAACGCATGCAGCATGTATAGGTACGCGCTAAGTCACAGAAAAGAGATTTAAATCGATTTTATTCTCTTTGATAGCACGAAAGAAGTTACGTCATGTTTTGTTGTGTGTTTCAATTTGATATAAAGGAAACTGCCAAGATGATTTTATGACCAATGCGTCAGCACAGAACAAAAAGGAGTGCTCAAATGTATTGTACTGTGGTTATGTATGTGAAACACTGTGGACAAAAGTAAAGGCTGAGCGGACAGTTGTTAAACACCCTAACAATTCGAGCGTCTCCATAATTTTTTCCTTTTTTTGCATATGAATTCGAATAGTGCTGTTTAAATTTAAGTCAACAATAAAATTAACCTTTCGTCGCGTATCGTTCAAAATGAAGGAAAGAAAAAAATGCGTACCTATGCTTTCGAAGAGGATGAGCTAACGGAATGGGGAGGGGGTGGGGATTTTAGGTCAGGGTTTTTCTACCCTCTGGTTCCAAAAGAATCATGAGATAACTCGGATTAACAGTTTATAGAAGCGACTTTAAGAAAGAATTTTCTTGAGCAGTTAGCACACCGAGTATAGATGGTAGTAATCTTAAAGGAGCCGGGGAGCATGAATTAATGCATTCTGCAGTTTTGAAGGAGCAACTTGTGGCCTCATGCGCAGTATCAGCTGTCTCTGTGCATCTCCCTATCCTGATGTCACGTGGCTTCGTCGACCAATGACATCACTCCACATGAAGGAGAGACGAAAGACGAGACGAGCTGCTCTCTGGTGCTGATGTTCTGTTCGATGATACCGTTGCAAAGTGTGATAAGATTCGCGAAGTGCACTCGGGAAGTCTGGTAAAATCGTTTCGCGTTTACTCTACTTCGCATTTTACGGATATGTCCGATGGATCTAGTGCGATATCAGTCAACGAGGTTTAGTGTTTCGTTTAGTTCGAACCCGTGAATTTAAAAATACCTTCTTGCGGTCGACCGGCATCACCAGCAGCGATTTCCCTGAAAAAACACGCTTCATGTTAGTCGTTGTTCCGAACTTTTCTTGTGTAATAATCTCTTAACCCCCTTATTTTTGCTGTGCCAAGTGCTTCGTTTTGTGTGAGCTTTATTGTGGTTGAAATAGTGTCGCAATCTAACCCCAACAGCGCGTGTGCATCTGCTAATTCATTCTCGACGCCACTCACTTTCGTCTCGTTGTAAGCCCCCAAGATTTCTATTTGTGTTTCTTGTTTTTGTCTGCCCCAGCACTTCCTCGTCTTCCATAAAATTTCCATCACCTTTTTCACTAATCCAATTTTATGATTTGGATCTTCTTTGAGATTTTAATCCTTCGAGTATTTTCCAAGTCGTAATTCCTTTGAAGTCCATGTTCGTTGAGAAGATGGTGGGGGAGCTGGAGGTTGCTTCAGGTGTTCATTAGGTGTTCTAATTTCTATTCCTCGTGCCCCTATTTTTGAGTGTGCAGTTTTAAGATGGTCTTTATTCCCCATCTTTTCGTTTAGTCGGATTTTCTTGGCTTTCAGTCGTGCGTAAATATCTGCACTTGAGATCTTCGATCAGTGCCATCAGACCTAACCTAAAAACTATGTCCCTGAGATTAGTATGCAATTGATGTAAGAATGAATATCATTGGTTTCGAATTGAAGTGTTCACCTTCATGTGTTTTGGAAGTTGTAAATTTGTCTTCATTATCAGGTGAAGTTTCCACTTGAATGGACTTTTCATCACTGTTAAATTTCCCTCAAATTCTCTCTCATGTAAGCTCTTCCCCCGTTCTCATTTTGAAAACTACTCCAATTCTGCTGACATCCTAACCTAGAATGAATGCGCTGATAATGAGAATATGAACAGCCAGGTGGCTTTCTTCGGGTTTCAATTGTCTCTTCTAGAGGTGTTTAATTCCAAGTTTTCTTTTTCTTTTTGATATGGGGCATTATTACATCCCCGCCTCAACAGTTGCAATTTTTGGAATCATTACTTCCGCCTAAGTTGTGTCATGATTTTCTTTCAATCATCGGCTGCAATCTGCCACTGCCTTAATCCATTATAATGTACATTTTAACATGCACAACCTCAAGAATTTGTCACTCGTAATTTAGTGTTGGTCGAACATTGTCGAAACTGTGTATCTTATCTTTTTGTACTTTGAGGAATTCAGCTCTTTGTCAGTGATAGCTGAATTGTGTCTCTGATTGTGCATCGTAATTTTTATTTCAGCTATTTTTTCACCAAAATTGAATTATACTTATTTATCAAATTCTCATTTTGGTTAAGTGCCGGACAATATTTAAACGCTCCCCAAAGAAACATATTTTGTGCTTTGCTTCACTCAAAATATTCACCCATGTCTTAAAGTTGATTGACCTTGTAAATCAGTGCATCTCATGCAGAAGTGTTGCATAAGTAAGTATGCTGCCGAAAATTTTTATCATTTTTTGTTTTATACCTCATGATATTTTTCATTGTGTCATGATAATATCTAACAACATCTCTATTATGAAATGGACAAAACGAGTTTTAAGTACAGTGTCTTTGTCTCAAGGCTAGAATGACCATTTTCCTTTCCTTTTCCTGTAAAGATTACTGATGCTTAAATATCGGCCCCACGGAAACATTGAATAGGTTTCAATTGGATTTGGATTTATCTATTGTTAAAGACAGGTAAATTAACTTTATCTGCTCTTTCCTCATCCAATATAGTTTAGTGGCCAAAGGAGGATGATATCACATTCTTAAGTGTCCGGGAGAAGTTTCTGAAGAAGGGCAAAGATAAATGTAAGAGATAGTAAGCATGAGGTCCTGGATGTATCGGACTCCATATTTGTAGATTACTTAAGGCTGATTTTAGGAATATTGATACCTTCTGAGAAAGTAGAGTTTTACCTCTTAGGAATTATCGGTAATTTATTTGTTTTGTTAGTATGATTATTCGGTCCATATCCCATGGATAAGGGCCACCTGTAGGGAGATTAGAGACATCTGTATTTCCGATCAAATTCCATGTTCTATGCTGCTTTCATGCCAGAACCATGCATTTTTATAGTTTCAAACAGGTTGGAAGTTTTACATCTTCTATGGTCGCAAAAATCATACAGGTTGAATGGAACAGGAACCGTAGAATTTGCAGGTGTGTTACCATAGTTCCCAAGGGTTTTAAGCACAAAATAACTGTTGATGTTTCCCCTTTTGGATCTACGGAGTGTCTACCAGTCCCCAAAAGTCCCTAATGTCTCCGATTATCCCTTATTTTGGAAAGGTGTCCTCGATGTCCCCAAAAGTCCCCAATTTTCTTGTTCAGGACCCCGTAAAATGACAAACATCATCCAAACACCGGCATTTTCAAATTTTCCCATCAGCCGCGGTGGCGCAGTACAACCAAGAATAAAAAAACTGAAGTGTTGCTTGGTTTTTCGTATGTTTTCATCGGTTCAACATGACTTGTAAAATTATTCGTATAACATACGCCTTTTAACGCTCTCTGAAGGTCCTCAATTTTGGTTTTTCATAACTGGTAGACACCCTGATCTACTGATGTGTGCAATTTATGTCCGTTTACGCTCCCTTGCGGAAGGAAGGACACGGAGCCTTTTGGAAAAGTTTCTTGTTTTTTGACTTCTGTGTCAGAATGATTCCTCCTTGTTTATTTTAAATTGGTTTTCTGTTTTACTGTTGCAGAACGTTTAAATCGAACGACTTTCAGTTGATGCAAACATGGAGGACGCACACGCAAAAACTGTGGACGAAGTCCTCAAGTATTTTAATGTAGACCCTGAGAGGGGTTTATCTCCAGATCAAATTAAACGAAACCAAGAAAAATATGGACCTAATGGTGAGTACAATTCTCTGTTTTAATCACTTTCCGTGAAAATGCAGGATCTTTTGGATGAGGTCACCAAGAAATAGAAATTTAAACCATGAACTCCAAGTATGTTTTAGTTCTGGTTAAAGTATTTTAGAAAGATGGCTGTGTTAAAAACAGCTCACTCGTCATGTTTCCTAGAACTGGTAACCAAGGCAACTCATAGGAATAGAGTGCCAAGTACAGTGGGATTTTACTCACATGGCTAATGATTAGGCAATTATTGTAGATTTAAATAATAGGGCTGATGAGGAAAGGGTTGTAGCCCTTCACTTTCACGGCCACTGCAAACAACCGAAGTAAAACAAACTATCAAATTGTATGCCTGTCATATTCGTAAAATTTTGGACTAAGTAATGATATACTTTGAGGTGTTGGGATATTGCATTATTGCCTGCGTTCTGCAGTCAAGTCTTATCCCACTTCAGATTCGAGGCCAAGTTTTGGTCTTCAGCTTGTATTTTCTGCAGCCGTCTTTCCAAAGAATTCATCCTACCTAGTAATACATTTCTTTCTATCTAAGAAAACATGAAAGATCCTGCACCAATATGCATTGCCATCTATTGTGTTTTTAGGATTTTTAATTCTGCATGAAAGCCCTAAGTTATTTTCAAAGTTCATCAGGATTCTCTGGTTCTTTTTCCTGATGTAATCTGAACTTCATTTCTCTAATTCAAGTATACGATGTAGGAATAATTGCATAGGTATTGGGGTGTAGGTTGTTCTTAAACCCAAGTATTTTGATTCCATATGATCTAACTGGAAGCTAGACTCACCTGTCCATGCACCGTAATATAAACTTTTTACATACCGATTTAAGTTGCTCCCAAAGGAACCATACTTCGGTGTCATAGTTGTCAATACCTCATATTGCGTCTAGCAGCTCTAACAGCACTGTGCATTCAGATGGCAAACGTTTATTTGCTTTGGCAAGTACATTCAGAAAGCAGTTTATGCGAGCTTATTGTTAGAAAGATTGTCAAGTATTGGCACTAGCATGCCATTTCAGCACTGGAATACTCCAACTGACTCCCCTCTTCTTCTACCCACAATTTATTTTTGTCTTGACCTATTCTCTTCAATTTTTTAATTTAATATCATGCAACTTGCGCTTTCATCTTGTAACTGGAATAGGAGACCTGTCAGCGAATCGATGAGTGAGTTGATTGTTCTCATTTTTTAATAGTTGAGAGCC